TGCGACTTAAGTGCACTGCATTAAAAGACTAGATTGTTCATTAATAAAGAAAGGGAGAAGCTCCAACTATAAATCAACGGGGACTCCCAGGGAGTTTTATATTAGGCAGTAATTAAATAATAGTTCATGTTGCTTTCTTTCACTGGAAATTACATCCTTTTCACCTCTTCTCTGCTAAAGCAGAGACATCCATTAGCACGAGTAGCTACAACACTTGTCAGAGGCAATCAGTGCCAAACAGCTGAAGGCCAACTGACGTGCACGCTCTTAAAGCTGGGTTTCTTCTCTCCCCCAAGCCCACTGTCCTTTCACACGCATGCAACAGTCAAAAGGGATCACATCACCTAATGAAGAAAAACAGAAGCATATGGTAGGAAGGGGCCTCAGCAGGAGATGGCTGAAATGCCAAGGCTCGCACATAAACAAAATATATGCAAAAATGTGTGTTCATAGAAGCTGTCAGCCACAGCTTCAGGAAATAATAAGCTTGCAAAGGAAGACAGAGTTTTACTGTGACCACAGTTACCTAGGAGTCTGTATTTTTAGTTTAATTTTTTATTGCTCTATAAAGTGGTACACCAGAGCAGGCTAGTCCCAGATAGTTAATTATGCATAAGCAGTTGCAAAGTTCGATTTTGCTGTATAATATTGAGCCACATATTCTGTACTGTATATTTTGCTCATACCTACTGCAGACTTCCACAGGACAGCTGAATTGCAAACTGTAAGTGACTTCATTGCTGCCTTTTTTTGAAGCCCACCAACTATGCAAAGGGGAACGTTGAACTAAGTTCATGAATTCACCCTGCCTGTGTAACTGAAACGTAAGTGGCTCCTCTTTCCGGAGGTGTATTAATTAACATTTTAGGTGTGCATTGGGCACATTCTCCCTTATTGTTTCTTATAAATTTGCTTCTGTGCGAAGTGAACGGTCTTAATCAAAATCCTTTCTTTCCATAATAGCTCTGATCACAGGAAGGCAGCGGTCTTGCTACACTGAATCTTTACCTTTTGCCAGTGAAAACGCACAGTATGTCCCCTTTTGACTTGTCAGCTCCTGTGTTGGGACAACCCTGGTGTTATCGCTTAGTATAATCAGTTTGACTGCAACCTTCAAACTTGTGTGTCCCTTTGCTGTGAATATTTTAATATTCCGTGATGATATTGTTAGAACTGGGGGATCTGTAAGAACAGAACTCAAAGACAGAACCCTGTGTGATTTCTAAAATATGCTCCAGGCATTTTATGTACCAATGTTGACAATAGATAAAACAAGTTATTGTTCTAAAAAATAAAAGTGATGCGGGCTCTCCTGTGGACAGTTACAGTAAGGGAAAAAAATGTTATCTTCAAGTTGAGTACACTTTAAGTTCGAATCGCATAAATAATACACCTTATTTCATTTAAATATTTGCATTTTATATGAAGGATAATCGTGTCTCTTAACGTCATATTTAAAATACATTTTCTTGCCTTTCACCCTCTGTTCTCAATGGTCCCTAAGAGAGAAACTATTTATTTAACCTAAAAAAAAATAGTTACTTATTTATTCTTTTATTTGGAGGATAATATTAAAAAATACCTCATGCTTTTAATTCTTAAGAAAAAGAATTTATGGAAAAGGTACTGGGAATTTACGGCTGTCTTTGCAATTTAGTGTCTTGTCTAAAACTAGGGATGTTATTGGTTATATGACAAAAAATTGGTGTAATATTGGCTTCCCCAATGCTCCAAATACTTCATATCCATTTATTGATTTGCTTGCTTCATTTTATGAACATAAATGAATAAATGGCATTTGTAAGCAATTTTCTTTCGGAAGTGTTATCTGGAAGGCACTTTGCTGGGCATTGACATAATTAGAATATCAGGACTTCTGTATTAATCCTTACTTTGAGCTGGAAAAGTATCCATAGGAATGCCCGCCTGTCAGAGTCTTACTGCTGGTAGAAGAAGCATGTGGCTATAAAAAGTCTTCTTGGGTCATTTTTAAAGGGTTTGTTCCTCTTTTTCTCTCTCATCATTCCATCCTAACCCTTCCACGTTGAGTAACTGAGGAAACCCTCAAACACAAAACTGGGGAATTGCACCCTAATGAACCACAGACTCCTAAATTCGCATCAGCGGGATCACGACGAAGGCAGAGTTTGAGTGGGTGGCAATTTACTGGAGACTATCAGCGAGCAACTGACTGAATGTCAAATTCTACTCCCAGTAACGTGGACCGTGCCTGCACACATTTTACTCTCTGTGGACAAATACAGAGAACTGGATTGAGATATTTCTCAGAATCATTTTTTTTTTTCCTTTTGGCTATGATTCTTTAGGTGGATCTGAGACAGCTCTGCTTGGCCCAGGATTGTCCCAAATGTCCTTTTAGCTACTTCATTACAGGCAACGGGAGAGCCAGAGAGAGCAACTTCAGGCAAAATGTTGACTCCTCGTGGCATGCCTTTGATTCCAGAGCGAAAGGTGCTCTCAGCATTCTGTACGCCCTTGCTTCATCTCTTAATGCTTGGTGTGTTAGCAAAAGCTTGGCCCTGAAGTGCTTTTTTCTTTTTTTTTTCTGAAGTACAGCCTTTCAGACACTTCTGGCAATTTGGTTTTAAAATGTGGACTAAAGACGCAAGATCGGTAGTGCCACAGGGAAAATCTGCACTACACAATAACTAGAATAGTTCAAAATTTAAAAAAAAAATAGTAAAAATTTGCCTCAGTACTGTGGTCAGGTCGTTATGTATTCTGGTTTTAAAAAGCTTATCGGACAAATGTTTTGCAGGAAGAAATTTTGCAGGAGGCAATCTCTAAGAATTTTGAATGCTTGCTTAGTTTTCTCCTGTAATTCTTAGAGAAAGTCTTCATGAATAAAACAAAGCAGACATCTAATAATACCTTAACATAATCAAAAACAAGTAAACAAGGCTATCACCATGTTCACAAATAGATTCAATTTCTTAAAACTTTTATTATCAAATAGCTCTTGGAGCATTTTAAGATTCTCCTCAATTACTATGATCATGTGCAATTTATAACAGATAATTTATCTTTTACTAAACAAAATTATTGAAGGAACTGAAGTTTTTCATGAAGAAAAATACATATGGCAGTAAGAATGCTGAATTAATAGTGAATAATTGAAGATTATTTCATCAACATGAAATTCTTCCTTTTTAATTATAATTAAAGTTTTTTTGGGAGAAGTATGTGTTGGTGTTATAAAATATTTTAAATGTTAAATGTATATATTGAGAACAAAGAAAGGTATGGGTTTTAAGAAGTGAATTATTTGAATATGAACTCACATTTTTAACCTCATCACAGGTAATGTGAATGTAAATTAAACCCATCTTTTTTCTTATATTACTAGGATTGTCCTATATCCTATGGAATTTGAAAACACTGAATATTTTTATATCTTATTTGATCTCATGAAAATGAAAAGACTAGTAATATCCAACTAGAGGCAAGTGGCAGAATCCAGCCGAACACATTTTCACAAATTCCACAAAATTAAGGACTTTGCTGTTGGCCAAGACATGATGTCTCATATTCAGCTCTAGACAGAAATCCTTTCTCTTCTCAAGACGATGTTCTCCCAAAGGCACCTCGTAGTGTGGTGCTCTGGTGCGGACCCACACTCCACAACTTGCCAAGAGGCACTGGCTCTATAAATGGAAACACGTTCGAATGGTACAGAAGCAACCCTGGGAATATTCTACTTCTAATTTGCCTGACATTTCTGTTCAGTTATGAATGAAATAGAAAAAAGAAGAAGAAAAAAAGCAGACCCTAAATAAGTAGAAAATATGAGACGACGCAACTGCGTTAGACGAGCAAAACAGTGCATTCGAAAGTGAATAAGGACGTTGATGATTCTTGGGATTGCTGGATTGTTGCAGCCCCTCGGATAATACTGATTTGACTTTGGGAACATTTAAACTTTTCTTTGTTTCAGCTATTTTCAAATAGGACCAGAAAACAAGGAAGGAAGGAAGGACAGGCGGACGGACGAAGAGCTTGCTCTTGCCTTTCTTAGTCCCTTTGATATTTCTGAATGTTCACCAAGCTTGCTGTTACATATCTTGTTTAACTAAGGCTTGGTGTACCCACTGCTGCATAATGATTTATTTATTTTATTGTTGAAAGTTTGTGTCAAGACTGTAATGTCTAGGGGCACGTTGGTGGCTCAGTTGGTTAAGCGTCTGCCCTCGGCTCAGGTCGTGATCTTGGGGTCCTGGGATTGAGCCCTATGTCCTTGGGCTCTCTACTCTGTGAGGGTCTAACCCTCCCCAGCTTCTGTTTCTCTCTCTCTCTCTCTCATTCTCTCTCAAATAAATAAATAAAATCTAAAAATTTTTTTAAAGGCTTTAATGTCTAAAATATGAAAATATAAAATGCAAATGAACCTCTGGGTTAGATTCCGATAAGCATATACCCTTTAAGAAAAACATCTGAATGCAAAAACCAAATAAAAAAATTATATTTGATTGGTAGATCTTTTAACATACTATTATATGGGGGTGCCGGGGCTGGATGTATTAAATGTGTTCAAGTATAAAAACACAAAGAACATGTGGTATCAGAAGCAATATGAGATGTGATGCTTTACTTTGCGTTTTAAGAAGAGTGTCAAAACATTTGGGGCTTTGCTTATTTTTAAATTTAGGTGTTTTAACAGTGACACATTTGCAAAGCTCTAAATATTAGTTCCTAAAGGTTATTCTTTTTATATTCTCTAACAGCATACATTATTTGACTCAATGACAGTTATTTCAATTAGAAGAACTTCAGTTAAATACCGTTTTGGCAGAGTATCTCTGGAGACTGACACTATGGCACTACTTCTCAAAAGGCTTGGCATGTTGCTTTCAAAACAGATGAACAAAATCACCCACATAAAATAATAATAATAATAATAATAATAATAATAAATGGGTCTAGTACAATTAATTTTCTATACAGATTGAGGTTTTACACCCCCTACTCTTTTCCTTTGACAGGTAAATGGTTGAAGACAGAAGACTTATTATAGATTTTACATCCAGCCCATGAGGATTTTGACTGATTCCACTGAGCAGGCTCGGGTCAGCTAAGTCCTTCCCTTCAAAGCATCATGGGTGTCTCCGAGCATCATTGCAAGCTTGTCCTGGCAGTAAGCCAGGCTTCAAAAGCCTTTCACTGCAGTCACTGACTCACTAATGGGCAACTGCAGGCTTTCTGATTTTTCTTTCGTTTCATGTGTTCATTTGACATAAATTTAATTAAACCAAATCTGGTGTTAAAGCAAGACGAGATAAAAGTGATATGTCTCAAATTAAAGAACTGTGAAAGATACAGGAAACAGAACTATGCTTTTTTTTTTTTTTTAAATCTGTTTCTGTAAAATATCATCAATTTCCGTAAGCTCACTACTTAAAGTCGGCCAAAAAAAAAAAAAAAAAAAAGAGAGAGAGAGAGAACGGTATGCATTATTAAGAATAATGTGTATCCAAGGTTAGATGAAGGTCTTGGCCCCATATTCTCTGTAGTCAAACCTTTCATAGAATTCTTATGTTTTCTTTCATTGTCACACTAAAGGTAGTCACCTCTTCACAGGATATAAGACAAGTCTGCCCTTCTTCTGGCTACATAGCTATAGTTGTTAGACAGCTCAAAAGCATACAACAGCAGAAACATGAAAAGATCACATATTAAGTATAAAAAAATCATCATTTTTCAAAGGTCTCTTTTGGTTTTTTACTTAAGGCTAAAGAGGAGCTTGAGAGAGTGAAAAAGATCATGTTGCTTAAAAAGCTCCATTTAATTGCTTTGAATGTTGCTTTAGGAAACATCCGAGTTCCTCCTTTTAAAAATCGCTTTTTCCTCATTAAAAGAAATCTCACACGAGAGATACAGTATGTGAACTAAAAGCAGTTTTGCAATCTTTCTCAAGAATGCTCAGATTGATCCTTTTCTTTCCTGCAGCTGAAATCCTGCCACATCCTAGGACCGCATCACAAGTTGCTGGAGGTAATATGATTACTCTGAGCAAATACAACACAAACTAGCAAGTGATTGCAGTGTCCTGTGGATAAAAATCAGAAAAAAAAAAACCAGAAGAACCGAGCTGGCAAATTGCGTGAGAGAAGGCAGCTTTCCTTGGAGCAGGAAACCGTGTGTGGCATGTGCACCCTGAGCATTTCTCGCATCCCAACTTTTGATAGCCATCCTCTTTAATTACAAGCAGAACTCAGGTGCCTCTTCCGTACTCTCCTGCCTTGATTACTTTCTGTAGATTCCACTATGATTTACACGCAGGGCTTAGGATCATCAAATCCCTCTGCGACATCTTTCATTTAAGAGATGAAAAAATTAAGGGCTCGCAAGTTGACGTGACCAGCCCAGGGTCACACAGCCAGTTATTAGCACAGCTGAGACCAAATTCACATATTCTGACTCCCAGATGAATGTTTGTTTTTTTTTTTTAGCACCTCAAGTACTTCATTACAACAGATATTTTAGATTCTTTAAAATAAACTCTTCTTTGTATTCCCAGGTATGTGTCGTGTCTCTGACCAAAGCGAAAATATTCCAATGGTATAGGTGGAATTAAATCTGTTCAAGATTCTCAAGAACCGGGCGCCTGGGTGGCTCAGTGGGTTAAGCCTCTGCCTTCGGCTCGGGTCATGATCTCAGGGTCCTGGGATCGAGTCCCGCATCAGGCTCTCTGCTCAGCAGGGAGCCTGCTTCTCCCTCTCTCTGCCTGCCTCTCTGCCTACTTGTGATCTCTGTCTGTCGAATAAATAAATAAAATCTAAAAAAAAAAAAAAAAAAAAAAAAGATTCTCAAGAACCTCATATATTATTCCTTCCTTAGTACTCAGTAAATGGTATCTGTTGGTCAATCCTTTGGTTTCAGGAGTTATTAATGGGACCACATTTCGACGATAAGTTATACAGTGTAGGCATTATCCATGGAAGCCACTGAAATCTTTAATATAGCCACAGAACAGGTCCTATCTTTCACCAACAACCAAGCAGAGCAATGGCCCTCAATACAAGGGACTTTTATTTCATCCTTAAGAGATTCCACTTTAAATTTTACTCTGAATCCAAATGGCCATTGAAATAGAAAAGACCAGTACTGTTACAGCCCCCCTTAGACATAAAGCCTTTAAAAAAAAACTCCTGACTCTTTTGAGGCATGGATCTGAGTTTACTTACAGAGTTATTACATACTTTCTATATGTATATTATTTGTCTATCTATCCACATTTCTAACACAGGCTCTAGTTTTATTTATTTTTTATTTTTTTAAAGATTTTATTTATTTGAGAGAGAGTAAACATGAACGGGGGTGGGGAGAGGGGCAGAGGGAAACAGAAGAACAGACCCCACACTGAACAGAGAGCCAGATGCACCTTGGCTGGATCCCAGGACCCCGGGATCATTACCTGAGCTGAAGGCAGATGCTTTACCGACTGAGCCACCCAGGCGCCCCTGGACTTGAAAATGCTTGATGAGACTTTGTCAAGGTCCACAATGATAGCATGCGTCAATACAGTTTCATCAGTGTTTGTTCAATGTATTGAGTTCATTTATTCAACGAATCATCATTAAAAGAGTACTACATGCGGGCACCTGGGTGGCTTCAGTTGATTAACCAACTGCTTTCGGCTCAGGTCATGATCCTGGAGTTCCAGAATTGAGTCCCGCATTGGTCTCCCTGCTCAGCAGGCAGTCTGTTTCTCCCTCTGATCTTCCCCCTTTCATGCTCCTGCTCTCTTTCCAATAAATAAATAAATAAACGAATTAAATCTTAAAAAAAGAGATTACTATGAGCAATTCGCTGCATATATACAGCATATATATAATGCTGAGCCAGAAAATGAGCACTTAGTAGTCATTCTACCTAGCAGAGAGGTCATACTTTTCTTAGGCATATATCATAATATCTGAGTAATTTTACAATATTAAACTTGACATATTTTTTCTAATGTTTGTAATTTTTCAATTCTGGAATTTGTTAAGTATTTTGTTTTCATAAATGATGAATTTCTGGTGACAGACCACAAAGATTGAAGTGCTAATAAGTTGCTATATGATTCAACCGTGCTAGGTGATTGAGTTGTTGGATCAGAATTGAAACTGTCTATAATTGAGAATGTTTATAAATATCACCAGTCAGAATATCTAATAACCAATTTTTAAAAAGCGAAAATAAATGTCATAATTACCAGTGTTAACCATAAGTTGCAGAAATAAAGTATCTTTATTGTCTAATAATATAATGACTATACAATTGTCCTAAAAAAAAATGTACCTTTCTTAATTTGTTGCATAATCAAATATGTTAAAGAATATGTAAGACCACTGTATATTAGAAAGATTTATATTTGTGTCTGAAATGACTTTATACAATACAAAAGCTGGCTATCTCTTCAAATATTTAGTAAGTGGCTACTGTGGAATATAATATGTAAGTTTGCTATATTTACTAGGAACAAAAATTAAAACCTCAGGCGTTCTTAGTACAAGGTTTAGAAAAACAGGCAAAATGTAACTTCATTCAGGTAACAAATGCACATATCCTTGTTGCAGCACAAGATCTTTGCAAAGCAGAATGACTCCCAAGGTACAAGAAATTCCGAGTGTGCCCTTATGAAAAATTTTTTCAAGACTCTGAACAGTAAGAAAAGAAGTCTGGCAAATTACTATCAAAGATTTGTTTGGGTAAGTATGAAAAACTAACGTTCATCTTAACAGCGTTCAGACACAAGCGGTTTATAAAAACCAAGAGGTAGAAAATAGAATTCAGAACAACAAATAAGAATTTAAATAATAATCTGTAGATATCAGGTTTTGAGACTTCTCCCTGATATTTAATCTCATTACATGGCATTTCACCTCTAGTACTTAGCACTTGGTTTAACGACTTAGCCACCATTATTAGGCAACCAGCTCTTGAAGATGAAAAGTGTAGGCGGATCCTTGGCAGAGTCTATGCCCTTCCTTTTCAGAAAATTATGGTGCAAAATAACCTGGTACCACACATGAATTAACAACTACTATTTTTTAAGCAAGCAGTATTTGGTGACGTCTGGTTGAATGGTGCTCTCTGTAAGTTTATGCCCACCCCTGCCACCCATCTTACTTGGTATCCTGTGAGAACCAGCCTTTCACACAGAATTCTGTCTGGGTCACATGGCATGATTCCTCCTCCTCACCTCCCCTTCCTCCTCCTTTTCTTTAAGAAAACCACAGTCACAATGAGAACAGTTCATGCCTGTCATTTTTCTAATCAAATATATTTCATTTGGTTTATATCCTTTCTTCCGATTGACAAAGAGACTTGGTCACAAATGTTATTGATCTGATACTAAAGAAGAAAACCTTGGTGGAAACAGGAAAACAGTAGTAGGGACTACATGCTGGAGAGCAGGAGTTGGCAAACTCTTCTGGTAAAACCCAGACAATTGATGGTTGCCGTGTTACAGGCCATAGTCCTGGTCTAATCACTCAGCTCTGCCGTGACAGTACTGAGGCAGACCTGTATAAAATTTTGATATTTTGTTTATCATGAATTTTTGGCATTAACTTTGAGTTGTAAAATATTGCATTAGAATACTATTTATCTTTATTACCCAGTTTCTGGGCACCCCCTTAAATTCTGTGCCCAAGGTCAGTGCTTCACTTGCCTTAACCTACTGCCAGCCCCGTGAAGCTAAAAGGCAGCCACAGACAATACATAAAGAAATCAGCATGGCTGTAGTTCAAGAACATCTTATTTATCAACGCTGCAATTTGAACTTTATATAATTTTCGCACATCATGGAATAGTGTTGCTTTCGATTTTCCACCACTTAATATCATAAAAATCGAATTTAGCTTGTGGTTTGTATAAAAATAGGCAGCTGGCTGAATGTGGACCTCAGGTCTGAGTTTGCGAACTCCTCCTTTAGAAATTCAGGTATGTTTTGTTTTTTAAGAGACACACACTGCAAAAGTCACACAGATATGAAGAAGGCTATGAAACAATAATGGTTTTCCAAGGAAAATGAAATTATGGGTAAGTGTTTCGTCTATAATGTGCTTATGTTGCTTTCATGGTTCAAACTACTGAAAATATGAATGGATAGCATATTTTTATAATTTTAATAATGTTTTCCCTCTTGAATTGCATCAGAATGTCAGAACTGTGTGAGTGAGTTCACTTTTGATTGACTTGTAATGAAAAGTTAGTCTTAATGTGAAATTTCAAACCAACCATTGCTTAGCCTTAGGTCAAGTTGCTTATGATTTATGGACAAGAGTGGGCACACCACAGGCACTCAGCTGTTAATTCATTATTGTTTGATGCTAATTTATAAACACATATTTGTATATGTATAGGCAGTATACACATCAAGCGTTTAAACATTCAAATCCTTGGATTTTTAAAAACAAAAAACAAAAACAATTATAATTACCCCTCAAACATGCACTCCCCCTCTCCCAAACAGGAAAAGCATATGAAAGAGAGGTATCAAGGCGTGATCAAAAACAGACAACAAACATGGATTTGGGAGACAGAGAGAATCTAGTTCTGTACCCCAAATCTTTTTCTTTTTTCTTTTTTTTCCCCAAATCTGTTTTTTAAAGAGGTGGTCAATAAGTAGAATTTCTTTTCTGTTATTAGGTTCCAGGAAAGGAAGAAGATAGGCTCACTACTACTTAGGTGCAGTCGGGAGGTAAATTCATCTAATCACAGAGTCAAATTTGAAACAAAAAGTCACCAAAAGTGGTTACAACTCTCGTGTTCATAGTTCTGCATGGGGATCCATGAGCTTGACTGTTTAATTAACCACACAATCTCCAACAACCTTCCCCATAAAAAATGTATTTCATATTGTAAACTGCTTATTTCCCAGCATACGTTTGCTTCACAAATCGTCTGTGAGTGTAGCTTTATAAGTGCTTATAAAGTTATGCATGGCTTAAGTGAGGCTGTAAATAAATATCTGGATGGAGAAGTGTACTACCACCAGATTTCAGCCTAGTTGGCACGGGGA